TGAATTACAGACAAGTTCCTAAATCTCAGCAGAGAAGTTTTCTCAGTTGAATTACGGGCGAGTTCTTAAATCTCGATGAAGATGTTTCCCCAAGTCGAATTACTGACAAGTTCTTAAATCTCAACAGAGTTTTTCTCAGTTGAATTACAGACAAGGTCCTAAATCTCGACAAAGTTCCTCCGTTGAATTACAGACAAGTTCCTAAATCTCATCAGAGAAGTTTTCTCAGTTGAATTAAGGGCGAGTTCTTAAATCTCGATGAAGATGTTTCCCTAAGTCGAATTACTGACAAGTTCTTAAAACTCAGCAGAGATGTTTTCTCAGTTGAATTACAAACAAGGTCCTAAATCTCGACAAAGTTCCTCCGTTGAATTACAGACAAGTTCCTAAATCTCAGTAAAGAAGTTTTCTCAGTTGAATTACAGGCGAGTTCTTAAATCTCGACGAAGATGTTTCCCTCCAGTCGAATTACTGACAAGTTCTTAAATCTCAACAGAGTTTTTCTCAATTGAATTACAGACAAGGTCCTAAATCTCGACAAAAGTGTTCCTCCGTCGAATTACAGACAAGTTCCTAAATCTCAGCAGAGAAGTTTTCTCAGTTGAATTACGGGAAAGTTCTTAAATCTCGACGAAGATGTTTCCCCTCAGTTGAACTGCGGGCAAGTCCCCAAATCTCAACAAAGATTAGACTTCCCCAGCGGAATCTTCCTCAACAGCAGGTATGCAAGTTCTCGCTAAGGAAACTCTTATGCGATTGACACTCCTCCAAATGGCATCTGTAAGCCCATTCCCGATATCACAAAGCAATTACCACTTCATGCGAGTGCAAATTTCTGGGCACTCTAGTGTTCAATCATCTTCCACCTTCGGATCACGAAAGGCATGAAAGCCAATCTACATCCTCAGGTTTAAGAAGATTGAACAGGGGCAGCTGTTGTACCCCAAAATTTTCCCTCCCATATTTCTCAAAACATTGCAAGAAAGGTCTCCAAATTGCTCAAAGTAGTCCAAGGGTTGGCCAGACAAGCTCTCTCCTAAGGCAGTCTACTCAAATTAGGGTTTTGTGTTGCATCAAGATCCTTGAGTCCAAGTGACCCCAAGTTCTCACCAATGTCCTAATATGTTCTCAAGATCATCCATGTCAAGTTTCAAGCCTTGCAGAGGAATTTTGCTCAGTCAATTGCTCAAAGGTCCAAAAATCGATAGTGTTAGGGCAAAAGTCAACTGTGACCCAAATACAGTCAAACTTCAAGATTTTTTGTCAACGTTCTCATTTTGAAGGATATTTCATCATTTGATCAAGGTTTGATCATGATTCATCAAGGGTTGCTCAAAATTCATCAAGATTCAAAAATTGCTAAATTAGGGTTTTATAGGAAAAGTCAATCCAACTTTGACCAAGTATAACTTTCTCATACTTTATGAGAAATGACCCATCCAAATCTCATTTTGAATAGGAAATAATTCCCTACAATCCATCTTCATACCCCAAGATCAAAATATGCACTTACAAGAAGTTATGAATTTTGACATTATAGGTCATTTTTGAAAGTCAACAAAAACACCTTTTTTGTCAAAGCTTCTAACTTGAGCATGGAATATCAAAATGCGATGAGACCAAAAGGGTTGATTCGAGGACATCTCAAGATTTCTAAAAAGTCCAAGAACACCTCCAAAAGTTCAAAATTGAAGAAGTTATACATTGCTGAAGTTGGCCTTTTTTGCAAAATTACCAAAAGGCAACTATCCCCAAAACTTCAAATTTTGCCAAATGGGTCCATTCTTTTTCACTTGTTTTGAGTTTGCATTATTGCCCACGTGCTCTAGCTTTATCCATGTGTCCATATCACATTTTTATTAATTGTTTTAATTTTTATTTGAACTAATTTGATTTAAATCAAATAAAATCCAAAACATTGATACCAATGGATTTTTTGACTATTTCAGGCTTTAATCACAGCTAGCAAACCATTTCCAATTCGTATCAAGGCATAAGGGTGCAAAAAGATTGAAATCAAGCCAATTTGGAAAGTTTGTAAAAGCAAATCAAATCAAATTCAAGAGCATTGATAGAGCAAGATTTGAACAACAAATGCTACCCTAATGTATTGTACATTACATAAGCAAGCTAAACACACGAGAATCGGGGTTGGAGGGCAGTTATAGGGTGAGAACCAAACTTGCAAAAACAAAGAAAAAGTGTGGGATCGAAATCAAGGTTAGAGGCGTTTTCAGGGTTTGGCAAGCATCACAATCGCTTCCTGGAAACCTTCACAAGCAAAACCAATCACAACCAGGCGTTTTCAAGCTTCCATACGCGCTGTAAGTCCTTCGTAACATGGCCATGTTCTTGATTTCGTACCTCTGAAATTAGGCATTGTTATAATGAAATAATTGCATATTTGTAATCACCATGCCATTTGCAAGCTTTTGACATTAACCAATTGCATTTATCTGACCTGTATGAAGATCCACCATAGTTAGGGTTTTCTTGGAATTTTTGGGGGTTTTCGTTGCAGGTACAATTTATCTTCATGATGGACATGGTTATGTTCAGAAGAAGATGATGAATCAAACCATGGTCCTGTAATTCATTTATATTTCCTGGGGACGATTTTAGAAGGAAGTTATGCTTTTAGCTGCGGATAAAAATCCGCAGGTAAAATTTACAGGTTTTTGAGGAAGAGGATGATGCGTTGTCACCCTTCTATTGGTCTGTTTGAAATTCGCGCCAAAATCCCACTAATGCAATTGTTTTCTTATATTATTGTTATGTTGTATTTTGTTAACAAATGAAACAACGCAGCCCAGTGGTCACCACGTTAGCATTAAGGCATTCAAAGGCTGGAGGTCAGGGGTTCGATCCCTGCCTCCAGCAATTTGCATTTTTTCAATATTTTTCAGGTAATCATGTGCACGCATGGGCTAGATTTCCACCATAGACATTCATTGTTAGAGCGCCGGATGGCCAAATAGCCAGATCTGGTGGTCAGTGTTGGAGGTCCACCAAAGAGACAAGTCAATGCAGCAAATCAAGAAAGTCAAATGGATCAGCAAATGGACCAACCAAAAAAATGCTTTTTGCACCCTCCAAAAGGCCCAATTCCTTCTTTCTCTCATATTTATTTATTTTAACTTAATTATTTTATTTTGCTTAATTAATTTACTAACCAATCACATATTTTCTTTTTATCTAAAAAATCATAAAAATACTTTTTAATTCAGAATTTTATTTTTATTAATAAACACTTATTAATTAATTATGATATTAATTATGAAACTTTAATTTATTTTGTGAATATTTAAAATTAATTAGAATTAATTAGGTTTTAAATTCATTTAATTATTTTTTATGTCCTTTCTTAAAATAACAAAAAAAACCAAAAATATGTCATTAATTATTTTTTCCATTAATTTATTTAATAATTAATTTAGTATTTAATTTAGGATTTAATTTCTTTTTTCTTAAAATAAAAACAACAAAAAAGCATTTTGTTTTAAAAGGGTCAAAACCCTAATTTGCATTCGATTTAATTTCGCGTCGCGCTTTATTTTTTCTTTATCCAATTAATGTATCTGCTTCTGGTATGTAATAATTAATTAGGACATTTATTTATTTTACTGCTTTATTTTATTTTCAAAGGGTTGCTTTTGGCGATGTAAATACCTGACGCCTTGTAATAGTTATTTTAATTTCCGCATTTTAATTCCACAAATTATATAACTATTAGATGTTTGATAATAGGGTTTGCATGACAAGACTGAATGCTTAATCTTAAAATCAAATTAGATCACCCAAAACATGTGCAAAGATAAAAATAATTGAAAACGACACACTCGCACATGCACACTCTTAGGGTACACCCCACTTGGTTGCCTTCGTACACGGTCATTGAGTATAGGTTGTCTTAGAGGTCGCCCTCTTATCTAAAAGATCATAGTTGCCTCGAAATAGTCGCCTCGAAACGGTTGCCTCAGATATTGTTGCCTCAAACAAATGATCTAAGACATTAGGGTTACCACTAAGGCGTCCTAACATTGATTTAGTGATCGTATGTCCCTCATTCGAATTGACCCTCAAACTCCGACGATGGTGCTACCTACTCACTAATAGTGGGATAGCGTTGTCTAAAGGAAACGAACACAAAACGATTCTTTTTTCGAGTAGGTAGATTAGTTCTTAAGTACTTGCTCATTCCAAACAAATTTTTCACACTTACACTCCTTTATAAACAAAGTTTTCAAAAACACTTCATTACACCCTTGAAGACAGAAGCAAGAGTTAAATCGAAGTTAAAACAAAAACTTTTCAAAGCCCACAAACACAAAGAAAACAATTTTGAAAATGATGAGCAAGTACCTAAGAGCCCGTAGATAACTACGGATATAAAGGGTGCTAATACCTTCCCTTTCTATAATCTACCCCCCGTACTCAAAAATATCTCGAAAAAGGAATTTTTCTGTGCTTTTTTCCTTTCCTTGTTGGATAAAATAAAAGTCGGTGGCGACTCTTGCTTACCGCGACATTTTGCAAACACAAACGCAAAACGCAAACCAGCATTCCAAAAACAGTCAGTTCTTCCCACCGTATCACACTTCCCCTCGCGTAACAGACTCCCTTACCCGATCTCTCAGTCATTTGATTGTGATTTCACCCATCTCAGGTTTACTCGATGTTTACCTTTCCCTTTTAGTGGGATAAAAAATGTTCGATGAAGACTTTATTTATTTCATCTCAATGATTTGATCAGCCGATTGTTTCACCACTTAAATTGAAAATGACAAACGAAGTGTTCCAAGCTGAGGTAATAAGTTGGTTCTGCAAAAACATCCCACCTGGCTCCCGTAATTTCACATCCAGTTGCTTCTATTGATATCTCCTTATTTTCTCTTCTCACTCCTATCCTTTAACACATACTTTACAATAACCTAATACTTCTTCCTCTCTAAAAATCTTGTTTCCTTAACCTAGCATTTCCTTCAGCTCCCAAACCGGGTATGGCGAGACCTTTTGAGATGATAAGTGACATAAACAACCACAAGGAGTTATGAAAGATTGTTTTCAAGATACATCACAAATGGAAGGTAACGACAGCTTTGAAGGAGCATTTTGAGATGGTGGTCTTTGACAAACATGTGAGTTAGACGTCTTCGAATGGTGTTTTTCTAAATATTATTGTTTATGTTTAGATTTCCACTAATATATCGATTTTCATATTATTTCACGGGTTTACAGCTCTTCATACCAATGTTTTGTATATGTTGTTGTTTATGGTTTGGTTTCCACTGATGTACTGCTGTTATTAATGTTTATTGGGTTTCTGTCATTATTCTGTGCTTTGAGTATGCCTTACGAAACTTATTTAGGTCAAAATAGAAGTACCCTTCTATTTCTATTTTTTTTGTCTATTCTAATGGATTTTAAATTATATTAAATCTTCAGGGCCATGACATTCATGTTGTTGTTCCAACTATCTTCAAGCAAACTTTTGACTCAATACTGTCGGTTAATGTGACCTACACCATGTCTAACTTTCAAATTCAGCTTAATGATTTGATGTTCAAAACAACAAACCATTTCTCCTGAAATTCACGGGTGGTACTACCGTTGGAGATATTAGCAAGCACGATATCCAAGATAAGCTAAGAAACTTAACCCCTTTTGCTAATATAATATTTGGGAAGTGGCAAAGGAATGTTCTTTGTGGTATTTTCTTTAATATCATCATAACTATGTTTTATTTTTTTAATGGAATGTTTGTTTATATTATTATTAATAATATACTTTTCTATAGATTGTTATTGGTGTTGTTGACAAGGTAAGTTATGTACACCCCCATGCAGGAGGGAAACAACCTCAGGTTAACTTGGTGTTGCATGATTTGGGGTACGTCTTATGTCAACCTTAATTGATAAAGTCCTGCATTGTAACATATGACCATTTATTTATCACAAATATGTTTTTTACAATCACTGATTACGACATATGACTCCTTAGGGACACCAATTTAAATTATACACAATGGGAAGCCTGTGCAATGGAGTTCTTAGAGTACAAACAAAAACTGGCTGATTCAACCAAACAAACTGTCATTCTCCTCAGATATGCTAAAGTGAAGGAACAAGGTTCTCTCAAGCTACACATTTTAGTTTTGGCCATCTATTTACTCACTATTTTCCCTTTTGCTTGAATGGTTCTTTTAAATTATATTTGTTTATTTGTAGGTAAATTTCCCCCTGCAGTGACAAACACCTACAACCTCACAATGCTACACATTAACGAAGATATTAATGTCATCAATGATTTTATAAAACGGTACACACACAACTTTATGCTATATCATATATTATTTTTTCATATGTGTATTCTCGTATATGTGGCATTGAACATGTTATACTACTATACTTCTACAGGTTGCTTGTGGATTCTAGCTTTGGGAAGTCATTAACTACCACTAGCATCCACACCCGAGGGTTGTCATATTAATCTTCCGGATTACACATGTCTGCCACAGAAAATTTCTTGGACAAGGCTATTCAGATAAGACTAGATAAGATAATCCAATTAGGAGAGGTTTCTTACGTTGATGCATATTTTTTTCAAAACCTTACTTTTAACCCTTGATTACATAGCATAACCGATTCTTTCATTTTTGTGCAGCCTACTTTCTGCATAACTGTTGCTATAATAGACAAACTTATTGCATCAAAAAATGGTTGGTGCTACAGGGCATGTCACCAATGTCCTCAGTTTGCTAAGGGCGAGAGAGCTCCTTTTTATGTCGGGCTGGACACCGTACTAAAGCCGAGATTTGGAGGTGGGCCATTACAAATAATTGTACTTAAATTATTTCAGATATTTCATTGTACTTATGACCTTTAGGTTTGTGGCTGAGTTATAGGTATAAGATTTTGATTGAAGTTATTCATGAAGGGAACACGACAAAATTTGTGTTCTGGGATCACGAGGCGGCCATGCTGTTGGATACTTCTTCCACACAGATGCGAGCAACCATGATACAGGTTTCGATGGCCCGCTTGATCAGTGACTTTGACTTGGTTGTTTAGATATTTTTTACCACCTAACTTTTTATATTAACTCATGTTATTACAACCTCTATTACCATTCAAAATGTAGGCTGGAATCACAAACCCACTTGAGTTTCCTCTTGCCCTTGATGCAATGTTGGAAAAGAAATTTGCATTCAAGGTAAAGTGGGACCTGAAATGGAAAAGCTCCTTTGTCGTCCAGTTTATTAAGGATGAACAACTTATCGCTCATCTTGAAGGCCCTCAAGCAATAAATCAGGTTATCATCCACCACTTCATTTGTTACAATAAAATAGAATGTTCTTGATAGTGTAAATTACTAATATTGTAATCTCCTCACAGCCAACCCCAATCATTTAAGATAACTCACTTTCCATGCAGGTACATGTCTTTTTTAAGATTGCTTGTATTTTTTCTCAATACCATTCTACATTGTTTATGTTTCATAAAACACTATACTCCAACATAAACTGGAAATGAAATTATGTTAACTACTGTAACAGATGTTGGAAAGTGTCGGAGAGGACTTAAAATTTGAAAATCTAAGTCACGTCCTGATACTTTCTTTATCCCAAAGAGTTAATTTCGTGCATTATAAAGTTTGTAGTTGCTAAACAATAATTCGTTATCTTCATGCAGAATGGTGAAATAACCTCACCCCCATGTTATCGATCCCGCTACCCCTAAAGCTAATATGAAAAGGTTGCCTCCAGATGCTTCAGCCGAATCTCCAGTCAAAAGTATTGCTGATGGGGACCTTTCATCAACAGAAGTGAAGAAAGTGACCAAACGAGGAAAAAAATCCGTGACTTGGTTCAATTTATGGCATGGTTGTGTTATAATTTTTTGGTTCCTTGGTACATCATCCAAAACAATTGATAATATTTTCTATTAATGGATAATCAACATGTAGATCCTTTTGTATTGATGAATTTTCTTTTGTCATCCTTCGAACCAGTTGGGATATAGTTTGTATGCTTAATTGATGTGCAAAACTATCTTTTGCGTTATGTTTCAATGTGATTTATGTATTAGAACATATTATATTATCTAATTTTCAAGGTACTTTTATACATTTGTTCTTTTATAGCAACTACCGTCAAATATTGTTCATCTCACGATCGAGAGACATGACTGTTTTTGTTGTTCAGGTTATAAAAGGATAACACTCCAATACAATTGTCCCACTTGTGGTTCATATGGAATTATAATTTAGTGAATTCACATACCCTTAAATTAAAAAATACCATCAACGAAAGGGATTGGACGTTTGATTGATCTTCTTTCCTTCTCATACAAAACTGTAACAGACCAAATGTCTTATACTTCTGGTTAGGCCATCATATCCCACATGTTGAATATGCAAATTGAAACATCTTGTTCAACATGTTGCTGCAAAATTAGTTTTACCAAAATTCACGCCAATCATAATTTCAGAGAAATAACATAGGTATTATGTTTGTTTTCACTAACAAAATTCTGGACGAGCTATTGAAATATTCTACTTATATCTATACATAAACTTATGATTTTGTTCATATAAATATTTCTAATAAAAGAGGTCTTTGAAATCAGCAGTCCTCCTCTTAAGAAGCTTAGTCTTATACAAAGAATTATGCTTTAATGTCACTTGATGACAAAATGACTTCAAACATAAGAGGGTGTGAATTGTGTTATAAGGTTTTTGAATTTATTTTACAAAAGGGTTGCTTTTAGATTGATCAAATTTAAGAAGGAAGATGAAACATATAATTAAAGGCAGAAGACAAAATACATTAAAGCAAAAGATAAATATTAGAAAAAGCAGACCAGGAATGATATTTGTTCGGATCTAAACCACACAATCTACTCTAATTTTCAAGAGTTTCCCCTTGAGAGTTACACTATCAATTTGAGCTTTTATCACAAGATCAACCCATAACCTTCTTACACAATACTTTTACTCAAGTTCAGTTTGCAACCTTTATATCAATTACAATGTCACAAGATAACATGATTCTTGATTTATAGTTTGATCGACTGGATATGGTAGTCTAAATAATCTGGACTGCAAGTGCACAGTCTTATCGCGTTGTTTTAAAGATTATCGAACCCAAAGGACCAAAAGTCAAACATACTGTTATCCAGCCTTACGGTGTAAATCTAAGGCTAAAAATATTTGGTTTAGATTAGGGGAACTAAAAATAAGTTTGAATCTAGTTAAATAATTAGAGGGGGAAAACAACTAATATGTAATGATCGGACTTCGGGAATTAGTAACCTATTTGGTAACTTGTAGTTTCTAACAATTCTCAGTAGAAATTTATCAGTTTAAAACCCCCGTCTCACACTGTCGTGGTTGTTGATTTAGGTTATGTAATTAAGTCCTAATGTATGCTCTCGCTATCCCGTCGGAGTTAGAAACATTCTTTTGAAAAAAATAAACTCTAATTCGCTTTAAAGCGCTCTCGCTGTTTTTAAAGCCAATGCCCAGTTACTACGTCCAGTTAAAGATCCTCAAGCTCTCGCTTTATTGAACCTAACTTCTATTTGTCTTTTACACTCGTAACAAAACGGTTCATCATTAAAAACAAAGTAATCTAGTCCAGAAAATAGTTCAACAAATAAATAACCAATAGTATTACCAAATTCCCTCAGTTTTATGACCTTACATACCGGTATAGAAATCTAGCTTAGTGTGATCGGTGGAAATAGAACTGACTGTTTTTTAAGCTGGTTTCGCGAAATGTCGCGGTAAGCAAGAGTCGCCACCGTCTTTTATGTTCTCCAACATGGAAAGGACAAAAGCACAGCAAAATTCCTTATTCGAGAATGTTTCTCGGTTCGGGAGGTAGATTTATAGAAAGGGAAGGTGTTAGCACCCTTTCTATCCGTGGTTATCCACGGGCTCTTAGGTACTTGCTCTTATGTTTTCAAAATTGTTTGCTTTTCAAGTGTGTGTGGGTTTTGAAAAAAAAGTTTCGTTTGAAAAATTTCTAAGTAACTCTTGTATCTGTCCTCAAGAGTGTATGAAAAATTTGTTTGAAGACTTTTTAGAAAGTGTAGGTGTGAAAAGTATTTTTGTTTGTTTAAGAGAGCAAGTACCCAGGAGAATCTACCTACTCTAAGGAATTAGGCTGTGTAAGAGTCCTTTAGATAGTGCTATCCCACCATTGAGAGATAGGTAACACCATCGTTGGAGGTATTCGGGTCAATTTAATTATCGGGACAATGTGGTCACCGAAGCAATGGTAGGACACCTTAGAAGTAACCATAATGTCCTAGATCCTTTTATCCGAGGCAACCGTTTCGAGGCAACTGGATCTTTTGGACGGAAGGGCGACCTCTAAGACACCCTATACTTGATGACCACGTTCGAGGAAACCAGTGAGGCGTACCCTAAGAAGTGGCATGTGCTTTGTGTGTTGTTTTTCAGTTAAGGTTATCTTGTATGTTATTTGTGAGCTACGGATTGGTTTTATTTTTCATACATTCTTTCATGCATTTTTTAACAGTTAGGAGTGCGGAAAATAAATTGCAGAAATGTAAATCTAGCTATTACAAGGCGCGGGTCTATACATCGCCAAAAAAAACAAAGACCCGTTTGAAAAAATAAACTGCGAGAAAATAAATAAAGCAGTAAAAGAGGTCCTAATTAACTATTACATTTCTGGAGACAGTTACATAAACAAACAAAATAAATAAATGCGTGCGAGAATTAAATCGGGAACGTCCTAAGGGTTTTGACCCTTTTTGAATAAGAATTGAATTTTGTCCCTTTTTTTGTAATTAATGAAATTAAAATTAATAACTAATTAATTAATTTAATTAAAAGAAAAATATTTTTGTGTTTTTATGTTTTTTTTAATGAAAATGAAATAAAAGGAATTAAAATTAAAAGTCCTAATTCTAAATTAATTTTACTTTTAAAAAAAAGTTAAAATTGTTCTAATTACACCACTAATTAATTAATATTAAAATTTATTTACAAAAATAAGTTAATAAATAATAAAATGCTTTTTTTGATTTTTTTATGAAAAATAGTAATTAAGTTAATAATACTAATAATTAAAAAAAAGGAATTATAAAAGAAAAGAAAAATAAAAAGATAAAAAAAAGGAATAACAAAACCAAGGGGGGGTATGGGCCAGAATTGAGGGTTTGTTTAGCATTGTTGTGGCCCATTAAGCACAAAGTCACGTTGACTCCTGGAATCATGTGCATATGGTTGACTGAAAAGCATGGTGCTCATCATTTCCTGGCCACTGGATTGTTGTTTGTAGACACTTGGCATGCTGAAGCGTCAGGGCACATGATGTACCACCTTTAGAAGCCTGCACAGGAATACATTGAGAAAAAATGGAAACAAGGAAATTGGGGGACCTGGGAAAACTTACAGCGCGGTATGATGGACCTTAGGACGTGGCAAGGGTTGCTTTAGCTTCAGAGTATGGCAAAGAAGAGAGTCACGTTCTCCTTTTGGCCTGAAAATGCTTGCAACACTCCTTTTGATCTCACACTTTTTTTTGACACTTTTTGGATTTTGCTCTGGCCGTTTGTGCACACTCTAGGTCGTGAATGAGGCTTGCAAGGCTTGCATATGTAGCAATGAGTGAGAATAAGTCACATTTAGGAGCCTTTAACCATTGCAATTAAGCTTTGGATTTTGTCTTAACAACCATTAAAGGCCTTTCAAAGCTTGTTCAAAATTTGAATTTTCATGCCTAAATGAGCTTAGCACGAAATTGGTAGGTTGCAAATGCTTCATGAAGGCTATTCAAACCATAAGATACCATTTAATTAATTTTTTTAGATTTACTTGAATTATTATGGATTAAAATGAATTAAATCCATAAAAATTAAATAAAAATAGAAAAATAATTATTTGGTCTTGAAATTGATCATGGGACACGTGGGTGGCATGACAAGGCGGAATCAAGTGGAAAAAAGTGGGCCCTTTTGTCAAAAATTGAAGTTTCAAGGATAGTTGACTTTTGCCATTTCACAAAAATTTCCCAACTTCTCCAATGCATATCTTGCTCAATTTTGATCATATGAACATGTTCTTGGACATTTTGGAAAGGTCTTGAAGTCCTCTAACCAATGCCTTTGGTCCCATGTCATTTGAATTTACCAATCTCAAGTTATGGTCTTTGACTTAAAATGCCTTTTTGTTGACTTTTGAAAATGACCTATAATGTTGAAATTGGTAACTTTTTGTGAGAGCATTTCTTGGACTTGTAATGTGAATATGAGTTATAGGGAATGTCCTCCCCTTCAAAATGAGCATTGGGTGGGATTTTTCTGATGAACCATGAAAAAGTTATGCCTTGGTCAAGTTACAGTTGACTTTTTCAGTTGTCCAAAAATGGAAACTTTTGCATCTTGATGATTTTTGAGCCATTCTTGTGGAATCATGATCAAGATTTGATCCAATGATGATTGTGGCTTCAAAATAAGATGTTGACCAAAATTTTTGACTTTTGACTGCCAAATGACCATTTTACCCCTACAGTTGATTGTGAAGCAATTAGGGTTTTTGACTGTGCAACTTGGCCTTGTGAGCCTTGAAACTTGACATGTAGGTGCTTGAAAATGTATATGAGCATATGGGACTTGATTGAGCCCTTGAAAACCTCAACTTACTTGCAAGAACCAAAACCCTAATTTTGACTGGCTTAGGAGGATGGTTTGACTGTGCAACCCTT